ACTAAGTATGGGATTGCAGATAGGCTCCAAGATCTACTCAGACAGGGGTTCCCTCAAGTTCAGCACAACACAGATGGAATTTGTGAGAAAGGACTGTTAAGAAATGAGGGAGAAATTTTAATGCTAACAGTTTCTCAGATTTCAAAAGCCCTTTTGGTTTTGCTCATCATTTTAGAAGGGGAAAAATGGCTTCAGCCTACCTCAACTCCACTTAAGAAGAGGGAAAAAGAAAATTAATGATAAGGTTTCAGATACAGCTTGGGTGGCCAGCAACAGCAGAACTTGAGGAAAGTCAGCATGAAAGTGACAGCTGTGGTGATGCAGAGCATCACCGAGGCTGGTGTTACAGCTCCATACTTCAAGCTGATAGAAATACAAAGGGGCTCACAGATAACAGCCTTTTGGGATTCAAAGCTTCAGTAGAAACATCTTCACTGCCTTCAGCCTGTTTTGGATGTGTCCCAGAAGCCGGCTATTCCCCAGCCAGAGTCTAGATTCAGTGTGACAAAATCCCACTTTTCAGAAAACTGTGTTGTAAGACCTTTAAATCAGAACTAGGCAATTACTCAGAAGATGCTGGGAAGGACTCAGCCTTGGAAAAGAAACAGCTACCAACTAAATAATTCACACGTTACCGAAGACAACAATAAAAGAAGCCTAAGGACGGTTTCCATTGTTTTTAAAAATAAGTATTTGTAATAGCACACACCAAGGATATGATATTAATATTAAATCATTCATGATTGTTTACATTTCTTTTGCTGAAGCAGTATTTGGTGTTGTGATGGTTTTTTTTCCACTAGGACAGAAAAAATTGACGAACGCATAACCAATTACTTAGATCCCAAACTCAGTTTACCTCCCATTCCAAAGTCCAAGGATTTCAAAATCTCTTTAAGAAAAGAAAAAAAAAAAAAAAAAAGGAAGCCTTCAACCCAAATTCTTTTCTTGCTGTTTATTACAATAAACAACAGATTTCATATAAAAGCAGCACCAAAAGGGGGGAAAAAAAAAGTTCCAAAGCTAATTTTAGTCCTGCTGAACTCAGGAGCTTAGTGTTCCCATCAGGCTGAACAGACTCCAGTGGTGCCCTGCCTGCCTGCCTGGCTGGAGAAATCTGTCCCTGGAGGTCTATTTATGGCACCTTGTACCCTATACCTAGATTGGTTTTTAGGTTTGTTTTGTTTTGTTTTGTTGCACTGGAGCAAGTATCCAGGACTGCATTGATCCAAGACACAGATGTGACCTACTCAAGTAAATTACAAAAAAAAAAAAAAAAATCAAAATGGTTCACACTTCATTTTCTGCAAATCAGTCCCTCTGGACTTCAGCAGCTAGCCAAAATTCAGTCCCCAAAGTTATTTCTATTAAAAGGAGATACTGATGACAGAATCAGGTGTATTTTTGATGCAAACCCATCTGCTTACATACAACACAGCATCCTTTTACCTGCAACAAGGTAAGAACAAATGAGATCTTTTTCCTTGATGATTCTCAACCAAATTGAGCCAGTACCATATCCAATCCCTTCATGAGTTCCTTCTACTTTTTTCTCCTTAGACACACATTTCTACTGCTACCTCTAGCTGTTTCTCCCTAATCAGCACCAGTTTCTGTGGCTTGTTTCACTGGTTGTTATGTCATATAAAGGCAACTCCAGCAATCACTACCTCAGTGCCTTGTGTTTGTGTTATAAGTTCCCAGGGAAAATCTCTTTGGTCACATAGTTAAGTTTTTAATGTAGATCTCACCATGTAATTCTGGGTCAGTTGTGACCCTATTGTTTCTACTGCCTGGTTCCATAATGACTTTACCCACTTTTTAAACACTTAGCTTGCCCATCACCTTCGCTGAATTTTACCCAGTCCATAGTCGTATCCCTTCAGTTCCACCCAGTCTTCCATCAAACCAAAACGGCCACACCCTAACCCTTCAGCCCAGAAAGAGAAATGCTTTAACAAAACTACTAGTTATACTGTAGACAGTGGCTGTCAAGGTTCCTTCATATTTCAGCACCCCCTCAAAAAGTCTGTTTCCAGCCATGTCTCCTTGTGATTTTTCTACCATTTGTATGAAACCTGCCTACCTGAAGGGAGCTGTTATTCCTCACGCTCCCCATCAAGAGCAGACATCTTCTGCTGGATGCAAGCAAAGAATGTATTTCCCAAATGTTTATCAGCTAGACAGGAGAATAGAATTCATGCAGGCACCCTCATCTTCTTCAGGGTAAAATCTGCCAAACTAGCCTAAACTACCTTTAAATAGAAACAGTAGGAATAAGAACCAAACAGAACTACGAAGCAGTAGAACACCCCTGCTGTTAGACTGCCTTTGCTAGCTGGATGACAGCCCCAAACTGAGAAGGTGTAGTGACTAACCGATGGGTAGTAGTGTCTCAAACTGCAACTTCACATTAAGGCTTCAGTTACATTCACCACTCGCTGCTGCCAAGAGAGGTAGCCCTCTCTCCCCATCCCTCCTCCAGTTTCTTCCCTGTGGGACACGTGCTTCTGCCAAATCCTTGCTCCAGCACACATTTGATTGCAGGACAAAGCCAATTCAACTCACTAAAACAGTGGAAGGTAAATTGGTTTTGGCTGGAAAGCAAGCTGAATTGGCTTAATATGTGATCAAGCAAGCACTAGGCTTGGTGCAAGACAGAGCAAAGACGAACTGTACAGCCGAAGGCAGGAACAGCAGAAGAGGTCTAGGCGAGGTGAGAATGGCAAACAGCAAAAGAAGCTGTTAACACAGCTCAGCCGGAGCAGGGAATCACAGTCTTACCATGGTCCAGCAATATACAAAGCACATCTTGACTACTCAGTTCCTGTAGATAATCTCCTCCTTTCAGGGACAGCAGTTCCTCTGATACCTGCATGTTACTTAGAGGGGATTTTGGATTTAGCCCTAGCATGGGACTGCACTAACAGTTACGTATCTTAAGCCCAAATTCAAGAGGCACTGGTACCCCAAGCGTGCTGCTCTGAAAGCCCTGGGAAGGAAAGGGATTTTCTGGTCCCAGCTCTTGTGGAGGGTAGCACCACAGCCTAGGGAAGCTTTCCAAGGCTCAAGATTAGCTGGGCACAGTGCCACATGAACACCACCATCCTGCTTCTGAGGCACGGATTGGTTTTGTGTACAGGACTGCATTGCAACGAACAACTTGTTAGTTGCAATGCCGGTTCATGGGTCTGCCCCAGGCTCTCTACAAAAATAGATATATCCCTAAAAGAAAGCATCCCGAGGGCACCAGCGCATCACTCCTCTGCAAGAGAAACCTCACAGGCTGGCAGCGCGGAGACAAAGCCCCTGGAGATCCACCGCAAGGAGAGGCTTTCAGCAGAGCACTAAGAAATAAGACTGCATGCATTCAGATGGTCAATTCCCTAAACCGTGGCTTTGCACCAGGAAGAGTTTAGCTGCTTACCTCCCTTTCCAACCCATTTAGCCTAACACGGCCTGTTTCCACCCACTTGCTCCCGTGGACAAGCTTCCCCCATTTTCTTTCACCTTCTATCCTCCGTACACCTTGTACCGCAGGGCTCCCCGCCCTGAGCGCTGCCCCGGTCAACCGGCGGGACCCTTGAATATAACTTTATTAACCTTCAGGTTTTATATCCTCTCAGGGTCCTGCTCACCAGCCTCTCCCTCAGCACCACGGTGCAGGGGGAACCTCACTTTACCAGGGAGGCAGCACCCCTCCTCCGCCCCCGCCGCGGCCATCGTCCCCAGGGAAGGAGAGCAGGCCCCGCCGGGCGAGGCGAGGCGAGGCG